CTCCTCTCCTCTGGCATTCTTATTTTTAGATTTCGTTCATTTTGTTGTCTCCTTTCTGGCCTTTAATCATTTTACTTTTTTCTCTTAATTCAAGGACCACAGTTATCATCATATAAGTGCCACCAAGAAGAAACAGAGAAGCATTTAGTATGTCTGATCATAGATGCAGGATACTCATTTACACATATCGTACCAGTTTTTAATGGAAAAATAATTAAAAAAGCTGTGAGAAGGTAAGTTTGAGATAATTGAACAGTCTGTCAAAATTGCGTAATTTCTGTCACCAATTATATTGTTTGCATTAAAACTTTTGTGCGCAAAATGTTTGTACTTTACTGTCTCCTACCTTATTTCCAGTTTGATCTACCTCATTTCTAGTTATAACTAGCCTATTAAGTGAAATATGATCAAATTAATAGATAACTCAATGAAGTAGTACCCTGGTTCCAGAGGCTCAAGTCTTTTATTCTTTTGCTTACTATGTTATCAAGATGCGAAGCAGTGAGGTGTTTCCGTTCATTGGTTTGTTTTTATGCCTCTGGTCTCAAGCATTGACAATCTCACTTTCATGCTGTATTTTAGCAAACCAATCACAGATCAGAGTATTTTAGCTGTCAATCGTGTCAAATAAGCGAACCAGCTCGCAGCTTGCAGCTCGCAGTTTTAAATGCCCATAAAGGTCTCCCGCTCATATTTTATATATTACTAAAAAAAAACCTATAATGAGGAAGGAGGAATTTGTTAAAAAATGTCTCACCCACAAAAAARAAATAAAGAGCTGGTATAGTTCTTTGCTAAATGCAGAGGAAAGATGTAGGGATTGGCTAGAAGTGTGTTAAATGATTGGCTTGGCAAATTGAGTTAGGACATAAAAGGAATTGCCCTATGTCAGTTACATATGGAATAAAAGAAAGTTTTCACATAACATTCCAAATCAATACGGATAGCATTCACACGAAATAAAGTTGAATAATATTATGCAGTTGCCAAGTCTCTTGTGTATTGCCCTTTACTTTCATRAATTGTTCTGAATGGCTCAGTGATATAAGCTATTAGTCAGTAAAAAGACCCTTTGGCTAACAAAGGCTTACTGTTTATTTTGACCATATCGATTTCACAGTGCAAGTTACATGTAGTTGACTCTATATTGCAGAATTCAAACTACATTTTTTAAAGAAATGTATTGAACTTAAATAAGTCTAGAGTGATCGCACTTAATCCCTGCAACTGTACAAACTAAATAGTGCTATTTGGTGGTATTTAGTAAATCGTGCCTGCGGTACTCAAATTAAATAGAATTGATACAAATGAAACATTCAATACCGTCTTGCTTCAGGTCCACTTTTAGTACAAATTAGTASTACTTAGATTTTGTACAGTTGCACGCTTTAAGTGCGATCACTAYCAGTTTAGACAAAAGATAAGAACTTAAAACATCAGGGGCCAGTTGTAGAAATGCATGGTGGGTAAAGTTACCCTATGGATACTGTTATCACTCCATAGATTATTTATAAATCTTATCGTCTGGATATGGATTTATGAATAGCGCTCACACTTCATACAACCAGTCACAGATGGTAAGATTACATGATTGTKATAATAAGAATAATTTATATGCTGTGTTTTAGAATAAATGTGGGTGGAAAACTTCTGACCAATCATCTTAAAGAAATTATATCCTATAGGTGAGTATATGTACAGGAAAGTGACTTTAATTGTTAAAACAAGGCMTTGACAGAAACTTTAACCATCATTTTCTTTGGTACACATGAWTTTTTTGCAGGCAGCTTCATGTGCTGGATGAAACCCATGTTATCAACCAGGTGAATATTATAATTTCAGGTTTTGTATAGGAAATTGTACGACCTTGAGTACGAGAGGTTGTGCGATTTTTTGTTTATAGTACGGTATTYGGATATGCATTTATTTGAGCTTTTTTCTTTTAATATGTTGGTTTTCATTCCATAAATACTGTTGATGGAAACGAAAATACATCAAAGCTACGAGTTCAAATTATCTTTAATAGTAGCATATTTTAAATTTGAAAGACAGTACAAAATATAATTATCATCATAATAACTCCAAGGAGTACAATTAACGCTGTAATTATACTCCTCTCGACCAATGAAAAAATATTATTTTGTTTAATGTACTTTATACAACTTTTCAGTAAAATCAGACGTTTTGATTGGTTGGCTTTCGTGTGTTATCAAAGTATAGATACATGGATTACGTCAAAACTAATTGTTTGTTGTATAAAACAGATAGATCTCATTTTTCTGTGCGTGTGTACTCTAAAAGATACACAGATGACGTCAAAATGTAGTGAGAACAACAGTCACGCACTCGACTGCGTCTCGTGCGTACGTTTTTGTTCTCACTACATTTTGACGTCATCTGTGTATCTATTAGAGTACACACGCACGGAACAATGAGATCTATTTGTTAAATAAAATTGATAATTTTTATATAGACATTTAGTATCCTTGTTTCTATTGTTTAACTAACCCATGCTATACCTAAAATATTTATTACATAATATTAAAAAACTCATACATAATTAATGAGTTATTAGGCCAATGGAATGAGCCTATTTGGTCACATGCATGGACCTATATATCTTATAAAACACTCCTTATTAGTATTCTTTACATAAAGARTACAGGATAACCTTTATCAGATATAAAGCAAAGGTCTCAGGTTTGATACCTGATCATTGACCAATGCAGGATGTCAACCRATTGCAGTAAAACAGCCATCAGCACTTCTATTTTACTTTATGTGTATTCAATGTGGGATGACAAGAGTGCTTTGTAAAGTGATTCTATCAGTTTGCTCCATTTATCTCAAAACTTATTTTTGCTGCAATTTCTCCAAGGATTGTAACGGATTTGAGTTTCAAATTTTTAAGCCGTTTAAAACACTTGATATTGTGTTTTATCAGGTATAAAGATTCTCGCCTTCAGTTAGAATCTTTATAACTGATAAAACACTCTCTCTCGTGTTTTAGACTATACTTAACTGATGTTGTAGCATCGTTTTTGTTAATTTAAATGTCGTGTTTTATTAGACCTGTCTTTGCAACTGAAAAACTAGGCATCATGTAAATGGTAATGAGTATATTATGAATATTTATGTAGATTTTTTTTGATTGGCAGCTGAAAGAAGACACTTGTTTTATTTCTAACCAGTTTTATAAAGACATGGAAATCTGCAGGTAGTTTTTGCTCTGTTAGAAAATCAACCAAATTATGATGCTTAGCTACTCACAAGCTAGGCTCAGTCTCCAGCCGTCGGGATTTCGTGCGCCCGCGATAGAGTATCGCGGGCGCACAAAATCCCGACGGCTGGAGACTGAGCCTACTCACAAGCGCGATCAGTATATTAACCAGTTGTTAGATGTTTGCCAAAAAACAACAACAGCAAAGCAAACAAAGAAATAGATAAAAAAAACTGCATGAATGATACAYAAGTTATGTAAATCTAGAGTTCTGTCTTTGCAAAGAAAATATAAGAATATTTTATTTACTGTCCCATGGAGGCAAAAAATTACCTGGTCTGAATGTAAACTTAAACATGAATCTCAGTGATGTTTGACTTCATATTTTTACCTAGATTAAAAGGTGCAGGTAACACAATAGTAAGAGATTATGTACTGCCGGATTATAGCCATATCAAGAGAGGTTATGTTAAGGTAACTCATCCTTATCATTCTTACAAGTGAACACTTTGGTCTTTTTCAACGTTTTCTATCATAGTCTGTCCTTCTCATAGTTATATGACTGAGATGGTTTGATGATTGACAGACATCAAATCTTCATACACATGCCTTGTTTCTACTATGAAACAGAAATATAAGGTCTTGTTAGAAAGCTAGTATTTTTTGATATATGTAATTTGTATTTCCTCAGCCTGTAAGTGAAATGTGGGACTCTTCCTCAAAGAAAGAAAACGAGCAGGTATATTGGATTTCCATATCAATTTAAAGTTTCCACAGACAGTCATAGACATGACTATGTACTAATGAATATTGGTTGCCAATATATCTTGTCATTTATTGTGTAAGATACAAATGTGTTCCAGATGTGTATGATTATATGATGCATGAGGGATAAAAAATTGGAACAGAATATTTTCTTTGATTTATTTCTCCCGTCTAGATTCTGAGAATGAACATCGAAAGGTTTTCTGTGCCTGAGGTGTTGTTCCACCCTTCGGATATAGGTAGGTTATTGCTACAGTGTATAATAGAATTAATGAATAGTGATCAAARTCTAAGTATTGATTTGTACTAAAAGTGGACCTGAAGCAAGATGGTGTTGAATGCTTCATTTGTATCAATTCAATAATTTGCATACCACATGCACGATTTAATGAATCAACCAAATAGCACAGTGACTATTTAGTTTGCACAGTTAACTAATAGCMCTATTCGGGGGGCGTGCTTGTCCTTTGACTGTGATGTTTTGTGAATAAGATGGTCATGGACAGCGTTTGAACATGTAGCTKTACTATTATTTATTATTATACTGTATTTATTATTTATATATATATGTAGTACAATCATGTTGAAATGGTTGCAGGAATACAAGAAATGGGAATAGCTGAAGCCGTTATCAATTCTGTTGAAGCTATACCAAAAGGTATCTAATCATAATAATGATGATGATGATATTAATAATAATAATGATATAATAGTCTCTTTTGAACAAGAGATAAAAAGTACATTGTGCTGTGTTACAAAAGTATACAAAGAATGCAATTTAACATATTTGAATAATTTTTATTATGTCTAGGGTTTTTTTTATTTAATTTTTGAGGGAGTTGACATTTGATTATTTTCTAAAATGAAAATGACTTYGTGGTCTAATTTTTAAGTAACAATGCGCTTAAGAACTAGGGAACTCTCTATTGTTCTGTGGCATTGCAACTTCACCACATACAAATGTCTTGGTTTTCACACTGATTATATATCGACACATTTTTGAAATAAAATGTAGATAAACTATATTTTGAAACAAAGTTTCTTTTGTATTAAAACCTCTTATCCAATCATTAGCACTCAAAACAATAGCCAAAAGAAGCTTCTAATTTGCTATGTTCCCCACAAAGAAAGCTTTCATGAAGTCGGTGGGAATCAGATATTAAATAAAATATTAGAAAATGGGAGAACTTGTGAAATTATAGCAGATTTTCTTGTTTAAACCAATGGGATGGATGGATCAGACAATACACAATTAGCACCTTCTTGCATTCCTTTGCCGTTTGCTTCACTAGTTCTTACTCGGGCCATTACTTAAGTAATATTTCTYTGTACTAGAAATGCAGCCACACTTTTACAGCAATATTTTACTTACCGGTGGATGTACTTTATTTCCTGGTTTCAAAGAAAGAATGTAAGTATACCAGTAACTCAGACCTTTTGTACATTGGCCTAAGTCAGATTGTATTATTTTTTTGAAGGTTCAACGATGTCCGTTCATTAGCTCCAGTGGACTACGATGTTGCTGTCTATCAACCAACCAAGTGAGTTGTGGCGATTTAAAGCATATTATAGCAATACATTATTGTCGTGTTCAATATCGTAAAACGTGGAGCATAGGAGCAGAAGTAAATAATGCACACGGTGCACYGAGACACTACACATAATCATATATGGTGCTCCTTAACGTCTGCTAAAAAAAAATAATAAATTTAACTTTTTCATCTCGACAACGTTTATTATATTACTCGCAAAAGCCGTTTGCTTACGCCGTAAGCCGGAAGTGAATTGAAAACAATAGAAAACAAAGGAATGGAAACTAGGCCTAAGGGCCCTGGAGGAGTTTAGATGGCAAATATCAAGTGATTCCATAAACCTGAATCCAAGAAAAATTGCTTGTATGTAGGAAAAGGAAATTTTCTTGCTTCTTGTTTAATTCAATAAGAATATTTTTCAATCCCTAAGTTACTTCGGGTTTATGTCGTAAGCTAGACCGAAGACGGTATGCATATCTGTGACATTGTAGGGTTCGGCCTTTGTGTTGATAAAGTTACCCATTTCATATATTGTGTATGTATTTTATCCATTGGACAATGACTTACCTGCTTGATAGCGCTATGCACCCGTTGTACAACTGCACACACCAGAATGGTAATTGAATAATCRGATTTAGAATTCAAATCGTTACTTAGATGAAAACGCTCTTACTCTAACTGTCGCATACGTGTATATATTCCGCAGCAAGTTTCGAAAAAACAAATGTTAATGAAAATTTATCGATAAA